CTACTATAAGACAGTCAACCAGCCTGAAAGAAAGAAAGCCTGAATTTGGCTCAAGACAAGGCACCAGAGCCAATGATTGCCTTCGAAGACAGCTTCAAAGACAGCTTCAAAGACAAGAATGGCAATCCCAACAACCGAAGCCATAGGTACATGGGTGCCAGGGGTGCCTGATTGGTTTGTCAAGCAAAACAAACCTAAAGAGATGCCAAGGATTTTTGAAGGAAAAGAAAAGATGATCAAGCACCCTTTGGTAGCCCCAAATAACTGGATATTACTGAAAAACCCAATGACAAGGGAACCAGATATGGTTTATGCAATCTCCAGGTCTCAGATAAGGAAAACCCAGTGAAGGTACATCCAATACCAAAGAGATTTGAAGGAGAATGGAGAAAGTACTTCCTTGGCCCTGTCAAGAGGCTAGATAGGAGAATGAGAAGGTTCAAAGCCTGGTCCTAAGATCAAAAGGGGTGCCAGCAGGGAATAATTGGCTAAAGTTCATGCTGAACTAAGAGCCAAATAGAAGTCCAGTCTATCAAGCCTCGAAAATGCCTTGATGGAGAGTGATGATGAGACAGATGAAGGAATTGAACCAGGACAAGAAAAGGTATTGGCCGAAGAGGAAATGCTCGAAGCTTTTATAGCTGAACATCATGGTCGAAAAGCAAACAGAGGTAGATCACCAACAAATTGTTTCGACGAAACTTGCTAGTACTGAGGTACCATAATGCAGTACGGAAGATGTTTCCCAAGCATTAGAGAAAACCAACATGGAAGTAGATCAAACACAGCCAGTAATACAATTTGGTTCATTCCTTCCAATGCCAGTTAATATGGTTTATGTTAGAATAGGAAATAGTTGGTTGTATACTTATTTATTCCTTTTTTGATTACTCAGACTATGCTTGTAATTAACTCAATTATCAATATAAAGGGGAATGAAGTCTAACTCATTCCCTAACTCTTTCTCTTCTCTAAAATTACATGGTATCATAACCTAAACCCTAGCCCATACCTTATTCTTGTCTGCTAGCAGCTCTATCTTCCCTATGAGCCTAGTCGGCCATAGTAGCCTCTCACCCAGACCATCTTCTGTCTTCCCACAGTCCATCCAGGCCATCGTTAGTCTCCTAGGGGGTCTGTCGGTACTCTAGGGCCTCACCCAGGCCATCGTAAGGCACCCTAGGGCCTGCCGACAGCCTCTCTGGCTTCCTTGGCTTCTGTCGGCATCTCCTAAGCAGCCGTTGACTCTCTCTCTCTCAACGTCGTCTCTTTCGTAATCATCGACTCTTAGCGTCATCTCTCTCTCTTTTCTTATAAAGTTGTAATGGTATATTAGTAGTGCTTCTAATGGTTAGTTAGTTAAAAATAAAAATAAAAATAAAAAATATAACGATGCTATGTTAAAAAAAAAAAGAAAGACTTATTTTGCTTTTCTCTTTGTGGTCATAGTATTTGCTATTCCTCCACTATCTTTCGAGTTTGTGATTGGCACTGGATTTGAGGGTTACTTAGTAGCATATTCATGGAAGATTTCACTAGTGAGTGTAGAACCTCTCAGCCACCTAAGAGCAAGAGTTCGCTTATCCCTTCTACTATGACTGATAATCTCAACCCTAGCCTTAAAATCACCACTTCTCTATTCAATGGTCAGAACTTTCTAGCGTGGTCGCAGAGTCTGACTATTTTCTTAAAGAGCAGAGGGAAGATAGGGTATGTTGATGGTATAATCCAAGCACCCCTCACCACAGACCTGAGTTATGATCAGTGGGAGATCACCAACTCCCTTATTATGGGTTGGTTGATACATTCTATGGTCCCAGAGATTGGAGAGGGCAATCTCTCTATGGACATTGCACAGGATATTTGGGAGGCCGTGAATACCATTTACTCCCAGAAGGGGAACTTCTTATAGGCTTTCGAGTTACGTCACTTCATTGAAAGGTCGGTACAAGGTGAGATGACGATCCTCCAATATTTTACCTTCCTTAGCAATGGGTGGAAGCAACTTGATCACCTTCATGATTACAAGCTTGTCTGTCCCACTGATTCTGCTGGTTACCAAACATTTGTAGTGCAAGAGAAGGTCTTCAAGTTCTTAGAAGGCCTTAATGTGGAGTATGATTCGGTTCGAAGCAAAGTACTTAGCATGGATGTGCTTCTTACTCTCCAAGAAGCTTTTGCTTTTGTGCAGAATGAGGAGAGTCGCCGCTCTACGATGCTTCTTTCATCAACCTCACCACGCATGAGAGACTTGTTGGAAAGCTGCATGGGACTCCTTCTGGTGGCCGAGGAGACCATCTTGGTACTTGAGGGGGTAGGTCTGGTCAGTTTAGAGGCCGAGGGGCCAATGCTCGGGCACGTCATTCAGACACTATTGAGCCACTATCTTCCTCTCCAGTTGTATCCCCTACAATTGATGTTTCGGGGTTATCTGCCTCGGATTTTGAGATTGCTCTTCGCCATTTGCTAGACCATCGAGCCTCCACTTTTGCTACAGGTGCACCCTCTTCTTCTTTTGCCCATTCAGGTAACTTGGCTTCCTCTCTGTGTGCATTGCTTTCTCATCCGACTGTACCACGGATTATTGATTTTGGTCTAGCTCCTCTAATTTATTTTCAGAGTATAACCCCTTATTAGGTCAGAAAAAAGTGCGTATTGCTGATGGTACTATGTCCTCGGTGTCCGGAAAAAGGTTTAATTCATGCTACCTCTTCCCTCCTTTTATCCTCTATCCTCCATGTTCCAAATTTTGGTGTTAATCTTTTATCTTTGAGTCGTATTACCCGTGACTTAAATTGTAGCGTGAGGTTTTTTCTTGATCATTGTCTTTTTCAGGACCTCATTACGGGGAAGATGATTGGCAGTGGTAGAGAAGAACATGGTCTCTACATTCTGGATCAGACCAACAAGCTGGCTCACTTATCTTTTCAGTTACCATCCACCAAGGAAGACATTTGGCTATGGCACTATCGCTTAGGACATCCCTCTTTTTTATTACTTAAGCATTTATTTCCTTCTGTTTTTGAGACAAATAATGTGTCAGATTTTCAATGTGAGTCATGTTAACTTGGAAAACAACACAGGGCCTCTTTTGCTCATTTTCTTAATAAAAGTTTAGTTCCATTTTCTTTAATTCATTCTGATGTATGGGGTCCATCCCGTTTTGTGTCTTTGACCGGTAAAAAATGGTTTGTTACCTTCATTGATGATTATTCCCGGGCCACTTGGGTCTATTTGATGAAAGATAAAAGCGAGGTCTTTTCTGTGTTTCAAAACTTTCATAAAATGGTTTGTACTCAGTTTAAGGCGGTTGCCAAAATTCTACATTCTGATAATGGAGGGGAATATATGGACTCTGGTCTTGCCACTTACTTTGCCACTCATGGCATTATTCACCAGACTTTATGCACTAATACCCCTAAACAAAATAATGTTGCCGAACGAAAAAATCGCCATCTCCTTGATATCACTCGTTGTCTATCCTTTGAGATGCGGGTTCCTCGATCCTATAGGGGGGACGCGGTTCTCACTGTCGCTTATTTGATTAATCGTCTTCCTACCCAAGTTCTTCAAAAACAAATATCTTTTCAAGTTTTGTTCGGGTTTACTCCTTTAGGGTTCTCCATTCCTCTTTGCTTTGTCCATAATCATTCACCCATTTGTGGTAAATTGGATCCCTGGTCTTTTAAGTGTGTTTTTCTGGGTTATTCTACCAGCAAAAAAAGGTTATAGGTGTTATCATCCTCTCACTCGCAAATGGTTTTTCTCCATGGATGTTACTTTCTTTGAGTCTCAGCCCTATTTTCCGACCCCCCCTGTATCACAGTCATCCCTTTAGGAGGAGCCTTGGTGTGAAGAGATTCTTGTTCCTGTTAAATAAATAGTGGATGATGAACCAGCAGTTGTTGAGGAAAAGGAAGCAAACAAAGTTTATATCAGGGGCAAGGACAGGCAGCAAGTCACTTGGATGCAAGAGACTACTTCTCTTCCTCTACTGCCAACTTCTTCTCCGAATGAGTGTCCAGAGTCACCTACCTCTACTGAGAGTCCAAGTAATTCTGATTCTAGTGCTTCTATTCCTGCTTTTTCAAATCTTGATGTTCCCATTGCTAATAGGAAGGGGGTTATGTCTTGTACTCAGCATCCTATTAGTAATCATGTCTCTTATTCTCATCTATGTACCTCATACAAAGCTTTTCTGTCTAAAGTGTCTTCTGTGAGTCTACCTACTAATTTTCAGGATGTTCTTTCTATTCCTGAATGGAAACATGCCATGATGGAAGAGATGAGAGCTCTCAGCAAGAGTGGCACTTGGGAGTTAGTGGAGTTACCTAGAGGCAAAAATCTAGTTGGGTGTAAGTGGGTGTACATGGTAAAACATAAAGCGGATGGTTCCATAGAATGATACAAAGCAAAACTGGTTGCTAAGGGCTTTATTGAGACTTATGGGGTGGATTACCAAGAGACATTTGCACCAGTTGCTAAGATGAATTCTGTGAGAATTTTACTCTCTCTTGCTGCAAATTTGGATTGGCCCTTCATCAATTTGATGTGAAGAATGCCTTTCTTTATGGAGATCTAACAGAAGAAATCTATATGGATATTCCTCCTGGTTTTAACGATGCTAAGTCCAATAGTAAAGTATGCAAGCTCCAAAAGTCCTTTTATGGGTTAAAGCAGTCTCCTAGGGCTTGGTTTGAAAGGTTTACTCAAGCTATGCTGACATATGGGTTCAAGCAAAGTCAAGCTGATCATACCTTGTTTATGAAACACTCCTCACATGGTAAGACCACAACTCTTATTGTCTATGTTGATGATATTGTTCTGACAGGAGATGATGTTGAGGAGATTCCTCGTTTGAAAGAATACTTGGCTAAAGAGTTTGAAATCAAAGACTTAGGCTATTTGAAGTATTTTTTGGCATTGAAGTAACTCGGTCCAAGGATGGCATCTTCATATTCCAGAGGAAGTATGTACTTGACTTGCTAAAGGAAACTGGAATGCTTGGAGGTAGACCATATGATACACTTCTAGAACCGGGCCAGAAATTGAGTGAGGATCAAGAGGGAGATCCAGTGGACAGAGGGAGATTCCAGAGACTAGTGGGCAAGATCATATACTTATCCCACTCACGTCCAGACATTGCCATTGCCGTAAGCATAATGAGCCAGTTTATGCATGCTCCTAGAAATTCCCACTTGGAGGCTGTTATGAGAATCTTGAGATACCTGAAGTCTTCTCCTAGAAAGGGTCTCTATTTCTCAAAACATGACCATCTCAGTGTGGAGGCATTTACTGATACAGATTGGGCTGGCTCAGTCACTGACAGACGATCAACTTTCGGATACTGCACATTTGTGGATGGCAACTGAGTCACATGGCGAAGTAAGAAACATAATGTGGTGGCTAGATCTAGTACTGAGGCAGAATTCAGGGCTATGGCTCAGGGTGTATGTGAGTTACTATGGATTAAAGTATTATTGGAAGACTTGGGAATTCATCAGACTGACTCCATGTGACTATTCTGTGACAACAAGGCTGCAATCAACATAGCTCATAATCCAGTTCAGCATGATAGAACTAAGCATGTGGAGATTGATAGGCACTTCATCAATGAAAACTCACTAATGGCACCATATGTATTCCATTATTGAAGATTGGAGACCAACTAGCTGATGTTCTTACCAAGGGACTAGGGAGCAAATCCTTTCATGGCATTCTTAACAAGCTGGGCATGAGAGATATCTTTGCACCAGCTTGAGGGGGAGTGTTAGAATAGGAAATTGTTAGAATAAGAAATCTTAGAATGGGAAATAGTTGGTTGTATTCTTATTCATTCCTTTTTTGATTACTCAAACTATGTATGTAATTGACTCAATTATCAATATAAAAAGGAATGAAGTCTAACTCATTCCCTAACTCTTTCTCTTCTCTAAAATTATAGTTTATGCGTCAGGAGTTTCAAGCTGAGGAAGAGAACCAAGAGGGCCAGGAGGGTGATCATATTCTAGTCTCCAGTGAGGATTTACAAACCAGCATGGTCCAAGATGAATCTGAGGTGGCCAGGCCCATAGAAACTAATGAAGAGAGTGAAGAGGTAAGCATTAGCCTCTCATACCCCTTTGAATACCCTACAGTATCCATGACCTAACATATTAAGCCCCTGTACATTAAGGCTTATTTCAATGGAATAGAAATAAGCAGAGTACTGGTGGACAATGGGGCAGCAGTGAACCTACTTCCATGATCCTCCTTGAAGAAATTGGGAAAAAGAAATCCCAGGTTAATACTAACAAGCATTACCATTTCTGGTTTTGCTGGAGACAAGCAGATGGCTCAAGGCATTCTACCTATCAACCTGAGTGTGGGAACTAGAGACTTCATGACAGCATTTTTTGTCATAGACAACAATGCCAAATATAATGCTTTGCTTGACAGGGATTGGATCCACACAAACAAACGTGTGCCTTCTTCTTTGCATCAGAAGATAATGATAGCAATAGGTGATGGGGAAATAGAGGAGATCGATGCATATCCACAGCCCTTTATTGCTTGTGTAGATTTTGCAAAAGCCAAACTGTACACTGAAGGGGTGATACCACTTAGTGTACTAAGGAAGTCTGATGTAACAACCGAAGTAACGACCGATAAGGAAGTTGCACACCTGAAGCATCTAGTACAAGAAAGTGTTGATGAGGAGTTCATCATTAAAGATGCCAATGATGCCTGGTTGTAAACAAAAGGATCAAGATCAAGAAGCCAGACCCTTGGCCTTAATCAAATTTTCAACATTGGACATAGAAAAAAAAGTCCAGAAGGTGTAGGAGGAAAAGAAAGAAGTCATGGTGATTGGCTGTAGTCAGGGGCAACAAAAAGCTAGACCTTCAGTTCTTAGTACGTATTGTGCATTGGACATTGAAACTAAAGTCCATGAAATACAGAAAGAAGAGGCTCTATGGACAGATTTTGTCCATGAAAAAGAGAGTAAAGATGTTGAAACAGACAGGGTAGGAGTAGAACAAGATGAAAGGGTTACTTCGAAGGTAGAAGAAGTCCAAAGGGGAGTATTAGTGAATGCTCAAGTACAAGATCCCTTAGAAGAAGTCAACTTAGGTGAAGTTTTAGTACAACAACCCACTTACATCAATGTTTGGTTGGATCCTATTGACAGGAACCAGTTATTAGTTGTCCTGAAACAATATAAAGATTGTTTTGCTTGGTCTTATAATGAGTTGTCTGTGTTGGACAGGTCATTAGTGGAACATAGGCTCCCAATGAAGCCTAATTTCAAGCCACACAAGCAAAAACCAAGACAGATGAGCCCTGAAGTGGTTCAAAAGGTGAAAGAGGAGATTGTTAGGATATCTGATATGAAGCATGTCTCAACAGGTGATACCAAACACCTACTTAGTCTCCAAATCTTTGTCCTCCTTTCTAATACACTCCAACAATTATACATGCATGCAAACATGGTTGAATACCTAAGCATATAGAAGCAACTTTCAAGCACACTTAAAAGGGGCAAACATTGGCACATAGCATACATGATAAGCTTTGAAAAGCATGTAGAAGATGATGCCAAATCAACCTACCAATGCAAGCAAAGCATGTATCCAAGCCCAAGGACTTAAACTATGATCATATGACACACGAAGCAAATGATCAAAGTGAATCAAAACAGTCCCAAATCATGCCAAATTAAGGTCAAAGACACACCTAGATGGCATCTAAATGGCCTATACATGGAAGCATACAAAAGGGGCCAAACATGGAGCATAAGATACCAACCTCTTAAAGCATTAAAGGAGCATCAAATGCAAGCATACAAGCATGCTATAAGGACTGAAATGGCATGATAAGTGGTTCCAAACCACTGAAACAAAGCAAGTACAGCATGCTAGGGGGGGTCAACACTCAAGGCCTACAAGAGAGATTGCATTGTAGCTATACAAAGCAAAGCATGGATGACCCAATTGACCAAAAAAATACCTTAAGCACACTAAAACATGCATAAAAGCTTCACAAAGCTAAGCCAAAACAAGTAAGCATAGTGGTCTAAATTCTAGATACCTGTTAAGGCAGTTTCATGGCATTACAAGACAAGTATGCAAAGCAAGCATAGTGTGTCTAAACCAAGTAAAAATGGTGCTATATCATGGCAAAATAAGCACAAACAACACTTAAGACGGCAATTTCATGGCATTACAAGACAAGTATGCAAAGCAAGCATGGTGTGTCTAAACCAAGTAAAAAAAGTGCTATATCATGGCAAAATAATCACAAATAACACTTAAGACATGGCCAACATGAACTTAAAAATAGTGCTCACACATGAGGCTAAAATGACACTTTTTGAAGACAACAAGGAGAGGGGATGACCCTCTCCTTCTTAGGACCTTAAGACACCATCCTCACCACTGAAATCTTGGATTTTAGTGGTGAGGAGGCCCAAACAAGGTGGTCCCGAAGCTCACCAAAAATAGCACAAAATGGGGCCAAACAAGACCTAGGAGGGGGTAAATGACCCCAAACACAAAAGTGACCTTAATGAAGTATCTTAAACACAAAAAAAAACAAAATTTTTTTATGTTATACACAAAGCCCAAATCAGCAAGCAAGACAAGCTAAAAGGGTGTGCAAAAACGGGGAATAAAGAGGGAAAATGGGTTACCTTTGAAGACCAGCAAGAACCAGCAGCCTTTAGACCCAAAAATGCAACTCTCAACCTCTGAAAACAAGCTCCAAGAACCTCCAAGTGATGATGGAAGTGTGTGGCTATGAAGTGGTGTGCAATAGGCCAAGAACAAGACCCTTTTGGACCCTCTAACCCACCCAAATGTAGAGAGAGGGAGATATATACAGAGAGTGATATATATATCTTACATATCAGATTTTCTAACCCTCTAAAGGGGAGGAGAGGCCCTCTTTTTATAGAGAAACCAAGGGGGCAAAGCTTCTCTTGGAAGCTTTGAGCAAAAAGGCCAAGCTTCTTTTAGAAGCTTGGATCAAAAGGGCCAAGCTTCTTGGAGAAGCTAGGCAAAGGGGTCAAGAGGTTCAAGCTTCTTCAAGAAGCTAAAAAAAAAAGGATCAAGCTTCTTGGAGAAGCTAAAAAGGGTCAAGCTTCTTGGAGAAGCTAAAAAAAAGGGACAAGCTTCTGGGAGAAGCTAAAAAGGGTCAAGCTTCTTGGAGAAGCTAAAAAAAAGGTCAAGCTTCTTGGAGAAGCTAAAAAGGGTCGAGCTTCTTGGAGAAGCTAAAAAGGTTCCAGCTTCCTCAAGAAGCTAAAAAAAAAAGGTTCAACAGGGTCAAGCTCTCTCAAGAAAAGGTCTCGGCCAGGAAAAGTGGCCGATTGATAAAAAACAGCGGCCGGCCGACCAAACACAATGCCGACCGACCATCAATAGTGCCGACCGGCCATCATCAATGGCCGGTGGCAAGGAAACAAGGCCGGTGGCCTCAAGCCATGGCCGGTGAGGTGTGGGGATGGCCTACAAGCTACTTCCCATCCTCAGAAGCAAAACAACAAGTGTTTGGTGCAAAACCAGACACAAAACAGTTGAGTCGAGAGATCCTAAGGCAGGGCGCTGTAACACGTCCGCGAGAGACCTCGCTACAGTTCGGACTCGATTTGTGTCACGGCTCATAATCTGAACCAAAGAGTCCAAATCTAGCAAATCATTTTGAGAAAACAGATTTTTAGAAAAAGAAGTGCCAAACATGGGCTACTTTGCCAGATATAGAGTCGCCACCTAAATATTTTATTTTGGGGGAATTTAGAAAACCCTGACTCGGTGCCAAGGCCACGTGTCCGTCATCACCAAAGTTACCTCGGCTCGGGAACTTGGGTACGATTGGGGAAGGTCAGCTATGAGCACCCCCTCTTGCACGATCAAAGATCGGCCTCGACTAACCGTGATATCTTGTTTTGAAAGCATTATGTGTTCTTATTCCAGTTATTAGCCTAGAATTACTATGTTATGCACACAGCAAACAAGTATAGACCAAATCGCCTAAATTGGAACAAAATATTACATGTTTGTTTTGAAAATGGTTTGCTACTCGCAAGTAGGCTAAAATGCAGGTTTTGCCACCCTCAAGTGGGCTTCAGAAAAGATGGTTTTTGCCACTATCTAGTGGGCTCAAAACTCAGAGTTTTAATGCGTTATCCCAATTTAGGTAATTCAACCTCCATCCACAGGCATTCAAGCAGGTATATCACATAAGCAGCTAGCCTCCTGGTAATCATGCAATTATGGTAACACTCACACGCATGCGGCATGCTAAAGCATAAAAGCTCACCTAGTACTCCAAGTCAAAACAGAAACCAGTTAGTAATCACATGCATGATCCTAGTTCATGTTAAGATGGCTAATGT